GTCCTCATTTCCTTATTCCTGGAAGTCTGCAACAACCTTACAGATGGTTTCCTTATTTTCAGTCTCTTTCCCTCCTAGTCCATCCTCCAGATTGCTGTTGGAATAGTTTTCCTGATTCATCACTTAAAGTAAGTTTTATTGATGCCTATGTTTTTAAAATCAAAATTTTTTCAATGAGCAAAAATCTGTTTTCTCTCCCTTCTACTCCCTCCTGCCACCTTGAGGAGGGAAAAAAAAGGAAAAAGAAAAAAAAACCCTTAAAATGTACACATCAGTAAGCAAAACAAATTTCCAAACTGGCTGTGTCCAAAATATATATGTCTCGTTTTACCCTGGGTCTATCACTTTTAGGAGGTAGGTAAGCATGGTTCATCACTGGTTCCTTGGAATTGTGTTTGATCATTGTGTTAATCAGAGTTCTTAAGTCTTTCAGATTTGTCTTTACAGTGATATTACTGTATAAATTTTTCTCTTGACTTCTGCTTATTTTACTTTGCATCAATTCATACAAGTCTTCTCACTTTTTCTCTGAAACTGCCCTTTGCATCAGAGGGGTCAAACTCACAGCCCAAACCATATTAAAATGTAATTGGGAAATATTTAACAAAATAAATAAATATAATAAAACATAAGTAACATTACATTTTTTAAATTTTATTAATTTATTTTGATTTATCAACAATCACTTCCATATGCTTTTGAGTTGAAAATTTTTCTCCCTCTTCCTCCCCCCACCCTCCCCAAGACGGCGCACAATCTGATTTAGACTTTACATTTGCATACCCATGAAACATATTTTCACATTAGTGAAGTTGTAAGTAAAAATTAAAACCAATAGGAGGAACCATCAGAAAGATGAAACCAAACTCAACAGAAGGTAAAAATAAGTGAGAGCGATTCGACTTCCATAGTTCTTTCTTTGGATGTGGACAGCATTTTCCATCCCTAGGCCTATGGAGATGTCTTAGATCCTTGTAATACTGAGAAGGGTTCAGTTTAACAATATTAGTCATTGCATAACATGGCTGTTATTGTGTACAGAGTCTTCTTGGTTCTGCTCACTTCACGCAGCAAGTAACATTACATTTTAAAACATAAGTCAATATGCAGCCCACAAGGATCTTTATGTATGGATAATGGCCCCTATTTCTATTTGAGTTTGACATTCCTGGCTTACATAATTTCCTATAGCACAACAATATTTGTTTACATTCATATACCATAATTTGTTCGACCATGCCCCTGTTAATGAACATCCCCTTAGTTTCTAGCTTCTTTCTACCATAAAAAGAGCTGCTGTAAGTATTTTTGTACACATGGGTCCTTTTCCTCTTTCTTTGATCTCTTTGGGCTATAGACCTAGGAATAGTATTGCTGAGTTAAAGGGCATGTGCACAGTTAAGTAACTTTTTGTGCATAGTTTCAAATTACTTTCTAGAATAGCTGGACCAATTCAGAGTTCTGAAGAGTGCATCAATGTCTGTTTTCCTACAGCCCCTCCAACACTTGTCATTCTCCTTTTATTGTCACATTTGCCAGTCTGAAAGTGAGGTGGAATCTGCTTTTTTTTCCTGGGGGGGGCAGGTGGGGGTCCTCTTGACTCCATGGTCAGTGCTTTATCCACTGCACCACCTAGCTGCCCCACCACTTGCTTTTGCATTTTATTGATTAGTGATTTTTGGAGGTTTTTTTTCATATGGATATTTGATAGCTTGGATTTTCTCCCTAGGAAAAACTGCTTGTTTATATCCTTTGAGCATTTATCACTTGAGGAACTGATGCCTTTGTTTTCATATCACAGTGATTCTTGGCTTCTCCATGCCTATGCCCAAATTTAACCTTCCCTTGTAATAAAGAAAAGCAATTATTTGATATTTAAATATTTGAAGACCTTTTCAACTTGGTTCTAAGCTATTTTTCAGCTCTAGTAGACATTATTTCCCTTCATGCACTTTATGATCCAGTCAGACTGGCCTTCTTACTGTTCCTCAATGGTATTCCATTGTACTACTTTCAATTATATATGAGGGAAAATCTTTAGTGTAAATCCCAAACTAATGGATAAGATTAGTAATATTTTACCATTGCTACTATTTAAAGAACTCTTTGTTAATTCATTTTCTCCAGTCCATTTAATAGCTCTGCACAGCTATCAAAATGATTTTCCTAAGGCATAGGTATGACCATGTCACCCTTCTACTTAATAGGGTTTGATGGTTTCTTATTGCCTCTGGGATCAAATATATTACCTCACTTTACTAATGCACTTTTGGTCTAGCCAGATTGACTTTCTTGCTGTTCCTTACACATGCTGTTCCATTTTCTTTGTCCACACACTTGCCTCAACTTGCCTGTTAGAATGCCTTGTTTCCTTCAAGGCCTAGCTCGAGCACCGCTATCTGCATGGAGCCTTTCCTGAACCCCCTGGTGGCTAGTGACGTTTCCCCCAGCTCTGATCATCCATTGTCTGTTTTTTATGTATTTTATTTGTATATGTTATATGTTGACTAGAATATAAACTCCTTGACAACAGGAAATGTTTCACATTTGTTCCTGTATTTCCAGTGCCTAACACCATGTTTTATACATAGTAGGTGCTTAATAAATGCTTGTTGATTGTTTGATTGAATTAAGCAAAAACAACTAATGACAATGACCGGACTTGGACTTTTGGGCTCACTTTTGAGCGCCCAGGGGCATCAGGTGGGAGCCTGCAATAGCAGAGTGCGAGCCTGAGGGAGGAGAAGGATGTGCCCCAAGAGGACTTTCAGGAAGAGTATTGAACCCTCTGCTTTGAGGGGATTGTAACCTGTTGTGGCCCAGGAGTGGATTGTGCTGTGTTAAGAGAACCCCCTGATATGTATAAGCAGTATGCTGGACAGTACCTAAGGGAGGAGGAACTGGCTACTTACTCCCAAAGATCCTGGGTCCCGAAGAATGTATAACGGGGAGAGATATATGCTATGTTATACTGTGTGTTATATTCTGTTTTAGGCCTTGTGGCCATACTTATTTCAGGGGGAAAAGGCAAATAACTTTCTTGTATGTTTGAGTCCATGTGGCCACTCTAGTGATATGCTGTATTTGTATACCTATGATACCCAACATAATGTTCATGTTGCTGTAATCCATATTGTTGTTATTTTAGCATGTTATTGTATATTGTTGCAGTTTATATTGTTGTTATGGATTGTGAATGTTATGCATTAGTTTCTTGGCTCAAGGACTCCTAAAAGTATGACCTGCATAGATTGTAAGGGCCAAGCATTACCTGTTTGATTATAAAGGCCAGGATGGAGGGGTGGAGTGTAAGTAAAGTGAATTTTAGTGTATGTCAGGAGTATTTTGTTATTCCTTTTTAGATAATAGTTCTAGGATCCTAGATAATATTTCCCACAAATTATGGTTGAAAACATCTCCACACTTGTGTGGTGAGATATAGGGATGACATAAAGTATGCCTGTGCTGTGCTAGCTCATGACAATATTGCTAAAGTTAACCTGTGAGCTTAATGTTGGCAAGATGCCTTCTTTGTCTGTTGCCCTATAAAGCAAGTGGGCACTGGTCAGTGAGTGGGGGGACCCATTTTGTGATTTGGGTAACACATAGAGGAATGTATGTACCTGTCTTGATTAGCCCCCATCAAGGTTTAGGGGATCTTGAAGTTGTACTCCTATTCTCACCTGCCCCTAGGATAAGTGTGATTAGGGAATGCTGTAGGAGTTGGTGTTCTCATTACCAGGAAACTCTTTTGAGAAGACTAGACTAGAATAAAGTAAGCTTATTTAACCTCTCCAAATCTGTCTTCCTGTCTGACCGGATCAAAAGTGAACCTGTGCTAGAACGCCTGTTAGTGTTAGGAGCCCTCCTATGTTCTCCTGCCCCACAAGTGGTATTATCTGTGTGTTTACCTGTGAAATACCATATCTGACAATATATAACACGTTATCACTGTATCAAGAAGAGGAGTCTGTTTTGTTTTATATTCTCTAGGACCAAGATTAGTAATTAGAATTGCTTAATGCCCTTTTCAATATTTACTATATTTTAGTTTTTTTTTTAATGTGGTTACTGAGAGAGTATGATACAATAGAGTGCTGGACTTGGAGTCAGGGTTCACTCACCTCACAGAGTTGTTATGAGAATCAAATGACGTTATATGTAAAATGCTTTGCAAACTTAAACCGTTTTCCTCCTCTTCCGTTGGACTACATGTTAGGTGAAACCACATTCATGATAGTAGCATTTTACAAAGTACTTTCCATATAACAACCCTAGGGGATAGGCAGTGAAAGTATAATTTCAATTTTTCAAATGAGGAAATTGAGGCTCTACCAGATCTCCAGAACCCTCATACATTGCTTTCCAACTTGAAACCCAGAGTTATTTTAAATAGTCTATGAATCCATATGCAAATCCATAAATACATATAATATGTTCTATAAATTAGATGAATAAAATGTTGCACATATTACTATTTTCAAATATTATTTTAAATGTAACTATTAAATGTATATAGAATTGTGATTAATAAAATGTGAGTTTTTGTGACAGTATCATTAATTCAAAGTTGCTTTTCAAAAATTTCTTTTCTCAATATATTGCTGTCATGGGAGAAGGGAATCTGACTGTTTCATGCTGAAAAGTAGTTCTAATATTCAAAAGGATTGTGAATTATTTAGTTCAGTGTTCTTTTTATCATACTGTCTTTAAACTTGCCTTTAGGAACTTCAGATCCCCCTGCTTTTATTTTTTTTTTAAGTCAATGTCCGTGCTAAAGTGCTGTGATTTAGATTCTTTAGTGTTGAAAAGCTGTCGGTGAGGTTCTTAGGTTCCATTGGACAATGAGAGCTGAGTATACCTACTTTCCTCAATCTGGGAGGCTCCAACAGTTTATGCTCCAGGGTGCCTACTTGGGTTTTTATCACTTCCCATTTTACAATGAAAACAGTTGCCTCTTGTTCTTTAGTCCTCTTGTAACTGTGATATATCCTTTTCAGATTTCATTCATCTCCATGGCTGTCCCATGTGAAAAGATTTAAGTGCTGCTGAACGTATTTGAACTATCCAAGGTAAAACAAAATGCTTTCTCTTTTATGATTAAAATTCTGGCTAAAACTTACAAGTGTAAGATAATTATTGGTTTGATCACATGTCCTAGACTATAAAAAGGGTTGACCAGATGGTTTGCCTTAGTACCTAAACTAGAAATGGAAAATTTCTTGGTAGTGTCTTTCTAGACCGTTTTTGCTACTGGTTAGGTTTAGGTGACTGATGGGGACAGGAGAAAGGGAAGAACTTATTAGTCTGAACTGTATTTTCTGTCCCAACTAATATTGAGTATAACTGCTAATATGTGTATGTGTATATGTATATACACTCTATCTGTATATATACGATACTTTCAGAAGTATCTTCAGTACTGAACTGCCAAGTATGACAAGGGGCCGTGTCTTTAAGCAAAATTGAATTTGTCTTTGTAATACCACCCTCTGGTTTAGTATTTGGCATTGTATCCATTTTCTGGAGTTGGTGTTTAGTCTATATCTCAAGTACATGATATTTTGGAGCTATATTGAATGCTAAACATTAAACTTGTTCTGTTTTTCAAATTGCAGGCTAAAAGCTTTAAGAAATTGAAACCATGATAAATTTCTGTCAAAAAAATAAAATGGATTCATCAAATGGAAATGAAATTAACAAGACAGAAGAAAGCCAACTCAAATGTACTAATCCAGATGAAGAAAGAGAAAAAAATCATGTTTATTGTCTTCTTAATATAAGTGACAATATACTTGAGCAAGAGCAAAATATAAGATCCAAGGAGTTTTTTATTAGCACTGGATGGGAAGAAGCAGTGAGTTCTGTTTTAAGTGTTAAACTATCACCTGACATTTCTCAAAAGTATATCTCTTGAATGTTTGATAATTCTTTCTCAGATCTTGAAATATTTTACCATAGCTTTAAAATAAATATATTAAAGTTAGAATTAACTGTGGGAACAAAGAGATTAAGTACTTGCTCAGTTTCCACAAAATTGCTTGCAAACAGGAATAGAAACTTTTCTCTATGGAGTTACCCCTTTTTCAGAGCGTTTACACTGTGTTAATAAGGGGTAGGTAGTTAATACGTGCATCTCGAACCTTCTTCCTTGTGCTCCTCGTTTTGGGGATCACTTTACTGCTTGCTTATATTTCCTCTAGAGAGCAGAGTAGCTAGAGTTCACTGGTATTTTTTCCCATAAGCCTGTTTTGAAGTATGATAGCACACTTTTGGAAGGCCTTTGAGACATGGAGATATGAGGGACCCTTATTCCATGCAGGGGCCAGCTCCCATGAATTGGTGAGGGTGGGGACATGGATAAGGGTGGCCTGGTTCCAAGACATCTGTTCCTGAAGGCACCTAAGTTGGACCTTGAAGGAAGGGATTGATGTCATCTTTCAGATGGTTTTCAGCAACACTGATTCAGTGTGGGCCTTTTGAGACGCCTCTAAAAGAACTGGGAACTTGTAAATCTCTCCTGGTTCTTGTTTGTAATAGATCAAAACAGGACTTTCTGAGTTAATTTTAGGGAAGTTGTGGGACTCCCCCATCAGCCCATATGCTTGGGCTTCTTTTTGCATTAGCTCTTTCCTTCCTAGTGTCTATTAACTGTTGTGTATACTGGCACATTGAGGGCCTTTTTATTGTTGTGGAGTAGACAAAGAAAGCATTGAAAGTGGAAATAGCCCAGATGGGAAGGTGGCACCTCTAATAAGAGTTTGTATGTGAAGGAAATTTCTAGGTCTCATGTTGGATTTCATGGCACCTGCTTTCTCTTCCATTAGCATGGAGACATGAGAGTACTGAGATCGTCAGTTGTATAGGGGGAGGATTTTTTTTGGTATGCCCACAATAAACAAATGCTTATTGATAATGACAATGAGTATTTGGAACACTGTTTGTTATATGTACAGGGCACTCAGTAAGGTTAAGTAAGATTTACACAGCTACTGTTAATAAAGGATTGAAGTTGGTATGGTGGGTGAAATCAGAAATAACTGAGAAAACAAAGGTTTGGAATTCTGAGCATATCACTTCATTAATACATGCATGCCAATTGCATAACTAATCAGCACCAAGCCTCCTCAGCTTGGCCTTGGACCCCAAATACAGGAGGAGACAGATTTTTATGCATTAAAAGAAAACAGAAGATGAATAGGGATACAAGATTAGGGGCTTTCCAAGCTGGGAGGGGGAGAGTGAACAGGTATAATTCACTGAAATTAGAAGAGGTTTCCCCACATACACACACCCAAGTGTCTGTATTCAGTCAAAGGAACAAGGAAACAATAATTGACCAGTACAGGGCCAGTTTTCAGATAAGACTTATGGTTTGAGATGTATAATTGTGAGAAAATTCCTTGCATCAGTCTTCGAATCTGACTGGGATTATGGTCAGCATAACCTTAGGTCCTTAGTTAAGAGTATCTAAGCAACAGGTAGAGGTTGTCCAGCTTCCCAGCCAAGCAGGGCTAGGTTCAAACAATACAATAAAGTTTTCTTACAATTCCCATAATTGAATAAAAATTTCTTACAAGACAGAAATTGGACTAGACCCATAATTGCATAGAAAGGGAACTGAACTATATCCAGAATTGAGTTGCAAGATGGAGTCATTGTGGATTACTCAATTCCCACAGTTCCCTCAATTTTCCCTTTTGATACATGGGGGAGGAGCCAACCTACTCCCCCCATGGATCTCTTATCTATCAGCCAAATCATCATCAAAATTATGTAAGTGAGTCTACAGATTAAACTACTTTAAAGGGCTCACAATGGACTGATTTTGAAAGGGGAGATTTACGTGTCACCAAAGCCACCAAGAAAACTCAGCGTAAATACCATGAAACAAAAGGCTAAAGACAAAGGCCAGTGATGATCATCAATATTAAATAAAATCATCTCCTTGTATCCTAGTAACCTACTCCCAATGTCTGTATAATCAGCACATTTTATCCTGAGTCCCAGGTGTCTCATGTAGTTGTCTGGTCGCTTCTGGAGTAGGCTGCATTCTCAGGGCAGCTCTGAAGGGGGCTCTGCTTCCCTGCTTCCATATTACTTGTAGAGATTCCTAGGTAATTCTAAAATCTGCCAGTAGCAAGCCTTAATACAATTTAGTACAGTCTCTTAAATTTGGTTTTCTAATAACTAGTTTATGTGGTTAAAAAACCAGTTCAAGCCTTATGGAGTTAATCCTGTCAACAGAGCTATAAGAAGAACATCAAATTAGAAACCTATAATTCACCTGAGACTTTAGAGAATTTTAATTTTTATATACCAATTGCTGTTTTTATCTTTACCTAAACCCTAAAAATTCAGAATGGTCTAACTTGTAAAAGGAATTCTATCTTTTAAGATTATCAGACAGATACTTTAAAATGGGAAAATAATTTCACTTTCTTTACAATTATCAGTGCAATTTTATATGTAAAATCTTTAATCCAGTTTTGAGAACTTATTACTAAAATATTGTCAAAGCCTGAATTTCCATACTAGTTATATTTGGAAGCCAATAACATATATTTGTATATATGTGCAAAAAATATGTATATCTTTTTTTGTGTGTGTGAGGCAATTGGGGTTAAGTGACTTGCCCAGTGTCACACAGCTAGTGAGTGTTATGTGTCTGAAGCCAGATTTGAACTCGGGTCCTCCTGACTCCAGCACCAGTGCGCTATCCAATGTGCTACCTAGCTGCCCCTACACATATATATCTTAAAGAAAACAGTTTAATCCTGATGCTTTCTAAAAATTTAGTATTCATTTATTTAGAAAACTTTTACATTGTATCTTTGTCTTATAAATTGTAAGATTTTTCTTACTTACATCCTATTATAGTAATTCAGAGATGTTCCAGTATCAACCTATTAATTAATAGATGTAGAATACTTACAAGACTCTCCTGTTCATCTGCCCTGATTATAGAAATTTGCTATGAAAGGAAAAGGAAGGACATAGTTTTTTATAACGGGGAAAAAAACTCCCTTAGCTCTGTTTGTTTGGTTCCAAGCATGAGTCGTATCATAGCAAAGCTTCACATTATTCACACTGTATGAAAAAACTAGGCTCAGGATTAATCTGGTGGGGAAATTTCCTGTTCATAAAGGAAATAGCACAATGGGGAAACTGAGTCAAGGGGAGTCTACCTTAAGCCAGGCCAAGGTTGTTCCCTCAACTTTTCCCAGGGAAAGACATCTATCTATAGCAGTTCTCTAGCATTTGCCATTTTCCATAGTTGGCTTTTCATGACAATGATCCCTGTAATCAAAAATCAAAACAATATCAAATTAAAGTTCTAAGAATCTTTACTTCAAATAGCAAAATTTCACTAATCATAGCTTATTATATTATTAATTTTCTCATGTTTCCCTAACAGTTACATGTCATTTAAATTATAATTAACTGTAATATAGCATATACCTGCTAGTTGACTCATAATAATGTAGTAAAGTTACATCTTTAAACCACTCTATATATTTTCATAATTTTTATAAGTGCTGTTGTACCGAGAAATCAGCGAGTGAGACCCAGACGTAATTTAAGATGTGGATTTTATTAGTGTGCAGCCGCAAGGGGTATGCACATCCAAATCAAGCAGCCCCAATCAGGGGTTGAGCTAGGGTTTATATGGAAAAGAGCATGGGAAAGAAATGCCAGGAACACTGATGAGGTAATCTAAAGGTGCAGGTGTCTTTGGGGGCTATGGATGGGAAAGTACAGGGAGTATACTGGACAGGGAGGGGGATGGATCTTTGGAGTCTGGCAGGAGGAAGAGTCCTTGGGCTGGTCAAGGACATCTCTCCCTCTGTCTTGATGAGAGAATGCTCTGCAACAAGGGAAAGCTTTCTCACAACACAGGAACTTACTGAGGAATTGGGAGGCTTCCAGAGACATGATCTGAGGCTGGGGCCTGAGCAGCCCAGCTCTGTGTAGCTGTACCAGGGAGAGAGATAAGGGTCATGCTGAGGCCCATGCATGAATAACTGCTAGGCACAGTGTCCTTGGGCTGGGGAATGGTTGTTAGAGACAGTGTTTCTGAGACTAGGGAGAAATTGGGGCACTAGTACAAGCACAAGCACCCAAGCACCCCATTATTACAGATCAGAGATCACACAAACCAGACCAGGTGTCCAGGTCTCTGGTATAAACATAATTATCTAAAGCAATTATATTGCAAGCTTTCTTATCCATTTGTGCTAAGTGCTTTACATTTGAGTCTTACAACAATCCTGGAATGTAAATTCTATTATTATTCCCATTTTACACATAAGGAAACTGAGGCATATAGAGGTTAAGTGAATTGCCAAGGTCATACAGCTCTTGAGTAGATTTCAGCTCTGGTCATTCTTACTCCAGGCCCAACACTATCCACTGTGCTACCTAGCTAGCCATGTAGATTAGTAAATGGGATTGAGGGTAAATAGAGTTTCTGACTGTGTTTTAGAAGGATAGTAAGAAAAAGTTCAGTTCACCATTAATTAAACTAATAAGGAAAATTTACATTAAACAGAAGCTTAGATGAACCTTTGGACTCTTTAGATCAAAAGATGTGATGAAACTGAATTAGTCCAACAACTTACTTATCTGTATTGCTTTCCCTGATTTTTCTTCTCCACTGTGGAAAATCATGAAATGATCTTTCTGTTCTGAGACTACTCTTAGCACTTGGGTTTTTTTTTCATATCTGATTTATATTTTATATAATTGTAATATTGTTGTTGGTTTCCCTATTCTATTCTCCCCTGTTGGATTTTGAGCTCCACTGGGGCAGAGACATGTCTTATTTCTTTTTTTTTCTTTTTTTTTTAGGCAGAT